ACATTTTGTCCAAGATTTTAAGTAAGTGGTTCAGAATTCCAAGCCTCTCAATTTTTGTCTGTTTCTTGGTAACCACACAGTGAAGAGCTAAAGTTATTTATGGTATATGTAATACTTAGATCTGTGATAAGAGGTAGTTTAGTGCATCCAGCAAAAAACAAATTAGACACCTGCTTTTAAGCTCTTGTAATCTGCCTCAATGATCAGAAACTGTTTGGGGAAAAAAAGTATCTTTTATTGTTTACTATGATCCCCTACATTTTCCATAGCATCCTCTCTTTCCCCTTTTATCTTGTGGGAGCAAAGAGCCAAAATTGCTCTGCTGGAGAAACAATAAAACATTTCTTTGCAGAACAGGAAAAAGCTAATCTGGTTAAGTTCAGCCATCTTGTGGGACTTACACTTTAAAAGTCACAGAAACATTTCAGGTTTGACATTTAGTATCTATGAAGATACTAAATTGGAAGAAGTCTGGTTCAGCTAGTCCAATTACTCGCCATACGTCTCTGAAAGTTGAGATTGTCCTTGAGGATAGTGAAGGTCCAACACTGAGGACAGGTAATGTGTCTGGTGAAAGCAGCTGCACATATACTACATGGTATAATATTGCTCGCTTTTCTCTGACTCTCATTTCCTTTGTTTTGCTTCTGGGAGCTAATTTTGGATTTTATTTGTAGTTTTCTCTCTTTTGAGTTATCTAGCACTGCCATTTGTTGGCCAGGAGGTCTTTCACATCTTTCTTTATCTTCTTTTTCCCTTCCCTCCCATATGCTGTGCCTTCCAAAATCCCGAAACTCTGGCTGTCTGGCCCTGAAGCCATTTCTATTTTTATTCTGATTTCTCTCCTACCAGCCTAGACGTCATCCTTAGTTTGTCTTAAGTCTTTATTTTCCCCCTTCGGGAAACAACTCCATTTCTAGTACATTGCTCTCACTTTCCCTGAATACGAACAAAAAAGGGTCTAATTCACAGCTGTATATGATCTGAAGCTCTTCCGTGTTTCTGTTTAACCTATTTTAACAGGTTTTCAACCTATGAAAAGTTCTGATTTCTTTACTGCACTCATTTACTTTAAATGAAGTACACGCATATTTCTCAAAAGTTAGCTCTATCACACTAGTCTAGTTTAATCTGATCTCTTGTTTGCAGCATTTTTTATATTAGCTCTGTTCCATCTCTCATCCTCCATAGAGTAATTGTGTTTAGGTTTTTTTGCTACATGTGATTTAATGATCTAATCCAATGTGGGTTTTTTTCCCTGCACTGTTTGTTTACGTTCTAAAGTGAAAAGGAGTGAGAGATTTTTTTTCACTTAATCTGTTTCATGTGATGCAAAGCACAAATTATACTCTTAGCAACACTATCAGAAATTTCAGCTGAAAAGAAAACTTGCAGTCTTAACCATTAGAAGGCCCAGAGCAAAAGAACACAAGGGAAAAATACAGGTCATATGGCCAGAATATCTTTGAAGCAATGCTGTGGTTGAAATCCTGGCTTAGCCTGAATTGACCCATGCTTGAATATGTCTTCAAATCTATGTCTTTGCTATTTTACAAGTACTCAATACTGCTTGTTGAATTAAGTGGTAAAACTTCAGAGGAGGCAGGGTTCACCACCACCACAGAATACATATTAGGAGTTTCCACATTGACCTAGTTCTCATTCTCACGAGGTCTGGCCACCTCAGTCACTTTGTTGTATTTCTTTCATTAGTGTATTCTTTTAAGGAGACAGTCTTCTTTATTGTCTCTGTACCGTGATATGAATTTATTTCATGGTCATTGACTTACGTGGTTTCTCCTTATTTCAGGCTCTGTGGCTGCACTGCCACTCTTGCTATTTTTTTGTGAAACTACAGCAGATTCAGCTGTGGTAGGATATTTCTCTTAGCTGAAGCACAGGACTCTTTATACAACCATAGAGAATGGATTGCATTTGAATTGTCTGAGTGGGCTTTCACTACAGAAGTGACCAAAATGACTTGCTGGAAGTGGGAATAAGCAAAACCATGCTTATAAAACCATATTAAATAGTCATGGTTTATTTTTGCTGTAGGCTATCAGGTTTTCCATATTATATATGGTTGGTTTAAACTGAGTTCTGAATCGCCTTTAGCAGATCTCTAATAACATAATATTTCCAGTTTAAACCTGGATTGGTTGTACAGTTTCTGGTGTAGTTTGGTTAGAAAATTTCCAATCGTTTCTTCTGCCATCAGGTCAACTGCTTCTTGAGGAGATGTACCATGCAAAACACATATATGTCATGTGGCATGGTTTGAGTTTACTAAATAGACTGTCTACATTTTTTTTTAGTCCATGTCAGAGAAGTGTTCTACTTTGAAGCATTTGATCTCTGTACCTTTTACCTGTTTTCCTACTCTTCTTTTTGCTGCAAATTTAACAGTGTCTTTTTGGAGACCTTAACATAAACCAGACTGAAATGGCCTTCGATATAAGAAGCAACAACTTGTAATGAAGTCCTTGGGAGTTATGTAAGTTTACCTAAAGATTGAATTTAGCATCTCTGTTTTATTGGGAAGCTGGCACACAGTGTTTTGTTTTATATTTGCTGCAGCTAAGACCAGGTTTTGGAGAGGTAAAGCTCTATGGTGAGCTGTATGTTTCAACAACATGCACTTTGGAAATTTCCAGGCATTGTATGGATTTTGTACGGAGATCAGTTAGTGCACGTCATGGATTTGTTTGGTCTTCAGTCATAATTTTGTTCGGTAAATCCTGATTCTTGCTCTTTCTCACAATATTTGTAAGACAATTTAAATGCTAGAAAGAGTTTCCAAACCATCTGGCATCCTCTGAAGTAAGAAACCCTGGCCCTGGGGGAAAGGCAAATGAGTAATGGGGGAGCAGCTAGTTAGCAGAGCACTTGCATTCTACTTGTCTAACAACATACGGTAGCCTGTAGTTTGAGTAGGAGGTTGCTTTTTAGAGATAGTATTTTCTATGAATTCTAGAGAGAGAATTATTTTCAGTGTGGAAGGTACTTCCTGCAAAGCTGGAAAAACACCCATTTCATTCTTATGCTTGGGAACTTGACTGGAATGCTAAAAGTGTAATCGAAGAAAATGTTTGCTTTGATCTGAATGCTGTACAATGAGTATGAATTTGAAGACAGCTTTCTTCAGAAGCTGCATTAATTTTCTGTAGTCATGTTTTTCTTTCATCAGACAAGGTTTTAAGGGTAAGAGTGGCTATTTGCTTCACTGTTAATACCAGATAGGCAAATGTCTACCGGTTTCTTCCCTCTTGGGAAACTGGATGCTTTGCTGAGTCTATGTATCTTTGGCAAGGCTGACTTTCCAAGCAAAGAAAGTAATCTTCATATGGAACTTGCATAATTATCACACTGTCATCCCCATTGAAAGGTATCCAATAATTGCTTTGTGTAGATCATTCCTTTTTACAGATTTCTTACTGAGGGTTAGCAGAGGATAATAACATATCCCTTTAGCTTTGCATGGAGCATTGTGCAGGTAAAGTACTTCAGTCTCAAAGGGAATGTCTGGGAAATCACACACTTGCTCTGAGCAATGAGCTCTGTGTGTCTGAGAGAGAGCAAGAGACTGGAAAGAGATCTGATGTGGGGATATGAAACACAAAATCTTTGAGCTTTTCTGGAAGCTGACAGCTTGAAGGAGCTGCTTTACTTTCAACACTTGCAAATTCTCAACAAGCACCTGTGCTGAGTTTCACACCACTGATTCTGTTGACTAAAATCATCTTATTTTGATGAGTTGACATGAAATAATAGCATAATATAGCGAGCAGTGGTGATGGTAGGTGCCATAAGGAAACACAAATCAGGATTTGGGAAGAAGATGAGGAAGGAACACTAAAATTATTCAATTTGATTAGCAGAAACTTCGAAAATTTTTGCTGATGAAGTCTCTGAGCAAGTATATTGAACACAGGAAACGTTGAACTCAGGAGCTATTGAACTCAGGAACACTGGAAATCTCATAAGTCTCCAGATGTTTTCTGTGTTGACATGTTTACAGGGGCATTTTACATGGGGTTATGAAAGTCAACCGTGTTGTTCTTGTGTGATGGAAATATTATAGGCACTATTAATTAATACTTCACACTGCAGAGCATGCTTAGTAAGTAAATAAATGCATGATGCCAGTAAAGCAATTTTCATGCAGATTAAAAATTGGCAACTGATAGGGAATATTGTCCAAATACAGTATTTTTATCAGGTCCTACAGGGATCTCTACGCTTATAGAATGGATAGGAGTGATGACATTTCTTTTTGGTAACAATCCAGCTTGCTACTTTGCTTTGTAACCAAAGGGTGTTTAAAATGGTATTTTAATATAGCAAAACTACAGGTAACATACAAAATTAGTGGTTGTACTTCGCACACCAGTAGTTGTGGAAGCAACTTTGTTGTTGGAATGAAAATACAGCTGAACATAACTTACCCACACTGAGGCAGTGATTAAGATACAAGAGTGCTTGGGCTTATGCTCCCTTTGATGTTAGATAAGGCAAAATGGCAGATATATTACACTTGCTATTAATGTTTGTGATGTTTTTCATAGAACTGGGTTTCTGTCTGGAGCTCAAGTGCTGTTAAAGGCTGCTGACGAATTAGAAAACCTGCCTTACATCTAGGAACTGGTTTGTCCAAGATAACTTTAAGGGGTTTGCTTAAGGTCAACAAGTATCTTCATGATGCAAGAGGGTAATGGGATCCATCTGTTCCCATACACAGTAAAAATCAGGGGAAGGTGGATGTTGTCACCTGTTCACTTCTAAGCAGCCATTACTAGAGTGTCTGGGGAGGCCACCTCTACCACCTAGAACTGCAAATGTTTTTATTAGCTCCTGTGGCTGTCATACCTGCCATTAGTGAGACAGAGTTAGCTTGGCTAATCATAGCTGAAAGGAAAAAACTAGCTCCTATCTCAGTGCTGTCCGTAACTTTATTTTATGATATTGTTATTCTAAATAATTTCTTCCTCCTTATTTTATAGGGCACCAATGCCTCTGCTCTGGAAAAAGACATTGGCCCAGAGCAGTTTCCAATCAATGAACACTACTTTGGATTGGTCAATGTAAGTACGATTTTCATTAGGCAAACTGTATACACAACTATGGCTCTGATGTTACTTAAACTTTCGTTTCTACTCCTATTTCTTTTACCTCCCAATCCCATTCTAAGGTAGGATTGCCTTTTCCTGAGAAAGTGCTGCTCATGGTTCAATTTAAGCAAAGTGAATTGCAAGACTCTATCAGATGTTTGAAGCTAGATACACCCCCAGAGAATCTATCTGTGTTCTATGAATGTTTCCAGGGATTAGAACTTGCACTTCAATAAAGTTAAAAGTCTATTTTAGCCACTAAACATGAGGGAGGAAGTGATGGAAATACATACAAGCTTAGATACAGCAGAATCTCTTAAGGAGCAAGGAGCTTTTCTACCTGAGGAGAGCATGAGTAAGAAGAGTGTTTAATCACTTGTTTATTCTCATATAAATAAAAGAATTATAGTCATTCTTTCCATTGAGAACATTAGTCATTCTGCTCCTGAGCTGTAAGATAGAACCCAGCACGAATATATTAATATATAGAAACAAGCTTAACAAGATCCACTACAATAAATAGATGTCTAGCAAGTGGAAACTTACTTTGTATCTTAGCTAATTTAGAACACCGTACTTTTTTTCTGTGTAGTGTCAGGGGTGGGTATGGAAACATATTCCTACAGCTGCTGCCTGGCACAATGGCTGGTATGTGACAGGGGCACAGGAGCCAGAAGTTGAATGAAACAACTGGTTTTATTGTGATGCACAGGGATTAAGAGTGTTTTTGATTTTACATGGCAGTTTGGGAACACCTGCTACTGTAACTCCGTGCTGCAGGCACTGTACTTTTGCCGGCCGTTTCGGGAAAATGTATTATCATACAAGGCCCAACAGAAAAAGAAGGAAAATCTCTTGACTTGCCTGGCAGATCTTTTTCACAGTATTGCTACTCAGAAGAAGAAAGTTGGAGTTATTCCACCAAAGAAGTTCATATCAAGGCTACGAAAAGAGAATGGTAAGTGTAAAACTGGAGTCCTCTTAGATATTCCTACATTGATCAGGAAAGTATAAATAAATATTGGGCAATGTGATCAAATTAATCAGATGTTTAGGTTAAATTTATAAATTACTTTTATTACTTTTGGGTTTAGATATTAATATTTTAGTATCTATGTACATGATACTATGCTTGGTATAACCATATCAGGTCTCATAAGTTGCCAAAGTTGCATGAATCACTGATGTTTTCAGAGCACAGTGGGACAGACTGCACCCTACAGTGAGCTAGGGCTGGGGACAGGGTGACGCTCTGCTGTAACTTTTTAATTACCTCTTTGTGGTTATGGCTCAGAGAAACACTAAGGGCAGTTGGCAGCATAGAAACTGTGTGAACTAGGAGTGCTACAGGCACCACTAGTCCAAAACACCCTGCAGGACAGGTAACTGTGTATGCAGGGGTGTTCAGTGAACTACATGTCAGCTGCTCCTCTTGTTCTCAGAAATGGGCACAGCCTTACTTTGTGAAGCATCAGGCCCTTTTTGAGCATTCAGTTGGCAACAGCATATGGCTGATCTTGTAGTTCTGTCTAAGCAATATGAGGAACATCTTGAAATAAGGAAGCCTGCCACACAACTCCATTTTGGCCTGGATTCATATCACTGTGGGTGGTGTGCTTAGAAACAGAGGAACTTTGAATGAAGAGACAAAGTACGAATCAAACACCTGGAAGAAATTGCTTCCCAGTGACAGGATATAAATGGGCAGACAGTTCATTCCAGAGCAAGCATTAGAAAGTGTGACAAAGTTAGCTCTGAATCATCTAGTGATAAATGCCCCCACACTGTTTGGGATCACTTTTAGGGACTGGATCTTATGTTTTCTACTTTTTTAAAACTAGGACCAGACTCAGGGTGTATTAACCTGCTTATGTGTCCAGGCTAGACACTGCAAAGCCAAAGGTCTGTCCAGAATTTTCAGAGGAAATCCACATGAGCTTTTTCAGGAGCAGGGGGATAAAAATACATGTTTCTTTGTGTGACATGGTCTAGTGGAAGGTGTCCTTTTCCCATGGCAGGGTGGTTGGAACTAGGTGACCTTAAGGTGCTTTCCAACCCAAACTATTCTGTGAGTCTATGATTCTATTTCTGGGAATACAGATTCTTTTTTCTTCTACATGGTGAGAAAATTGAGCCTTCACTGGAGAAATCTGTACTAAATCACTACTGAGATATTCTCTCTTCTTCCTGCAAGCATTTCTTACTGAAGAGACAAGTCTCTGCTCATGTGACTTGTGTGTGAAAAATGTGCTTTGTTAGGTGATGTTAGTATTGCCATTTGTAGTGGGTTACCCTTGGCTTCCAGGTGGTCCCTTAGCCAGACAGGGGGAGAAAATAAGATGAAAAAACTTTCTGTGTTGAGATAAAGGCAGTTTAATAATAATTAAAGGGAAAAATGCAAAACTAAAGGAGGTTTATTCACTACCTTGTATCAGCAAGGGATTTCCAGCCACTCGCTGGGGAGCAGGGCTTTTGTGTGCATAGGACTCGCTTCAGAACCCAAACATCTTAATAATGAATCTCCATCCCCTCCCTTCCCTCTTCTCTAATCTTTTATTGCTGAACATGAAGCCATAACATGGCATATCCCTTAGGTCAGTTTGGGTTAGCTGTCCCAGCTATTTTCCCTCCCAACCTGTTGCCTACCCTCAGCCTACCAGCCTTTGGAAACAGCCTTGATGCTGCGTAAGCACTGCTCAGCAATAGCCAAAACACTGACACATTGTCAACACCCTTCTAGCCACACAAAGCACAGCACTGTATGGGCTGCTATGAGGAAATGTAACTCCATCCCAGCCAGACACAGTACACTAGTATGTGTCAGCATTCAATGTCTTGCTTCCCCAGCCATGTGTTTTACTCTCCAAACTCTATGATGTTCCTAGGTGTCTGAAGGACTTGGAATGTATGGGTGGGGGTCAGGACCACCTGAAGTTAGGTGTCTAGTGTAAGGAGTTACTGGTTTAAGGAATTAATTTAGGAGGCGTCACCCTCTTGCTTTCTTCATTGACTGTAGTGGGAGCCTACACAACCAACGCCAGAGCATAACCTTACAGTCAGCTAAAGTTTAGCGAGATGAAGCCTTCCCCAAAATAGCTTCACTGAAGCCAGCATGACTGCAGAGCTGCTCTTCTTTGGCAAGATTCTAAACACTTTGCTGAGCAAAGGACATTGCTGGAGTGGGTCCAGAAAAGGATAACAAAGCTGGAGAAGGGTCTGGAGGACAGGTCTTACCAGGAATGGCTGAGGGCACTGGGGTTGTTTAGTCTGGAGAAGAGAAGACTCGGGGGGGCATTATAGCTCTCTGCAACTACCTGAAAAAGATTGTAGTGAGGTGGGGGTTGGTCTCTTCTCCCAAGCAGCAAGAGACAAGACAAGAGGTAACAGCCTCAAGCTGTGTCAGGGGAGATTTAGTTTGGATATAGTTTAGTGGTGGTCTTGACAGGCCTGGGGGATAGGTTCGCCTTGGTGATCTTAAAGGTCTTTTCCAACATGTTTGATTATATGATTTTATGTATTTGGGAAGAAATAATGAATTTAGGTTGCTTTCTTGAAGGGAATGTTATACCTAACTTTAGAAATCTCTACTGTCTTCTTCACAGATCTCTTTGACAACTACATGCAGCAGGATGCACATGAGTTTTTAAATTACCTGCTGAACACCATCGCAGACATATTGCAGGAGGAGAAGAAACAGGAAAAGCAAAATGGGAAACTGAAAAATGGCAACATGAATGATACTGAAGAGAACAATAAGCAAGAACTCACCTGGGTGCATGAGATTTTTCAGGGAACACTGACTAACGAAACTAGATGTTTGAACTGTGAAACCGTAAGCATTGGGATAGATTTTTTTTGGTTGTTGCCCATTAATAGATAGATACATTTTATATATATAAATATATGAATCTTTTCAGACATCTGAGAATTGTGGATATTCCTGTAGACTTTACTTCTTGAAGTGAGTATATTCTTTTCTAAAAATTTACTTTTCTAAGCATTACTTGGCTAACCTATGCCAAGTCTTGCTGCTCTAATACGTATCTCTACAGTTAAAATCCTTGTGAGTTAATCAATACCCTTCCTTACTATTGTAACTTTGAAGAAGATACTCCTATCTATTCCATGGATAAGTGAAATGTTAAGATGAATTTGTGTTAATTCATTCCTAGGACTGTGACTGGCATACAGGGGGTTTGTTGTTAACAAACCATGTGTTTCCTTATCTCCCTAATATTTTCTAGAGCATGCTGTCAGTTTGAAGTCTGTTTGAATTCTGAGTAAAGATTAGTTTTAGTTAGAAAACTTTATTGCAAGTCTGCTTTCATGTTCTGTATTTTTTAATAACATCCTCCTACTTAAAAGTAAAAAGAAATAATAATAATAATTAATAATAATAAAAGTTCCCCTCTGTGAGGTTTCTATGTCAAAGAGTAACACAGATTAAAAAAAGATGTTCTGGGGAGAAAAGTGCTAGTGGCTTTCAAAAAAGTTTTTAATCAACCTCACCTAACCTTCACTTTGTAAAAGGTAGGTGTCAAGGATGAACTAGTTTTATTAGCTCCTCTGTAGGTGATGTAAATTGCAAAGGAGCTCCTGCAGGATACTTTCTTTATCTATTTCCAGGATGCTTCATGAAACAGAAAGTTTTTAGCAGTATCAGTATTCTCCTCCATACAGCCTGTCCTGGTTTCATGGTGTTACTGAGCTGTTGCAACCGGTGGTGAAGCACTGCTGTGCACTGGGCCAGCAAACTGGTATGGCCTAAGAATAATGTGTTTTTAACTCAGACCAGTACTGCTTCCTCCAAAGCAAATGCAACTTTAGACTATCTGCTTTAAGGTGGGGGAAGGTGCCCAGAAAAGGTGCCCAGAGAATGTATCTTCAGACAGCAAGCTGAGGTTAAATATTTATAACTAGACAGCTGAAATTCAGTGAGATAAACCCTACCCAGGTCCTGCAGATGTGTAAAAGAATATATTTTCATATTTCTAATCATAAAGAATGATCTTTATTCCAAGAAAATATGACTTGCCCAGGGATTTGTGTCAGAGGGGTGTAGAAAGAAAGAGATCAAAAGATAGTCAACATGAAAAAAGAGGTTAGACCAAGCTTGGAACAAGCTTGTATAGTAAAAATACAAGAGAGATTGAAAAGTAATTCTTTATTCTGTTTTATTTATAAAAATCCAAGTAATAATAGAAAGTTAAAATAAGTGACGGCATAGAATTGCTTTTAACTGGCAAATTCCTTTAAACAGTTGTGTCTTAATTCTAAACTAATATCCAGTGTCTATTCAGACAAACTTTAATGAAGTCAGGATGTGTCCTTGGGAACAGCAAAACTGCACAATACTCTTTGTAATTTCAAGTAATCAAGCTCTATGGAAAAAATTGTGCTAGGTATTGCTGCTGTAGGAAGGCTTATCTATATCTTCCAGTGAATACAGAAATACTGTATACTACCCAGGATAACTTCCCAGTTTGTTTTTCTTCTATTACTGTGTCTTGAAATCTTTGGGAAGTAGTAAAATGGCTAAGAAGATGTTCCTTTGCTAAAATATTCATATGTAGTGCATGAAGAATCCTTCAGAATCCAGGAGTTCTTATTCTCACTTAGGAAGGGTTCAGTTTGAATCTGGTTTCTCAGCTACCTTTAGTTTTGGTTTGTAATGTTCCAGCTCCAACTAACTCGTCTTCCCCTTTCGGTAAATATTTGATGTAATGAAATCAATAACAAAATTCCAAGCTTCTTTGTGGGATTCAGATGAAATACTATACTTGCCAAAGACTTTTCCAAGTACTTCTTTCTTGACATGCAGTGTATCTGACAGAACTCTAGCTCCAGCTGTAGAGACACAGTGTTCTCTGAAGTTTTGTATCTATCAAATTCTATCTGTGTACTTGGAACTGCAGTTGATTGCTGCCAGTTTTGTGGTTTCTGGCCCCTGAGGGTCAAATTATGTCTCAGGGAGGACTTCTGTTTGGAGAACTGCTGTTCATTTTAATTGGGTGCACGTTATGCCTCTGTACATCTTTGATAATATCAATATTCTCTCTACTAAAGGTGTTCCTTTGGATTCAAGACTGCATTTGCCACATTTATGGGATCTTTGACATAATGCAAAGATCAGCTGAAAGTAGTAGCAGCTTACTTTCACATCCATAGAATTGCAGAAATCTGGGCATGAAGGACTTGCATCAGAATGATCATTTCAAACACTCACTGAAGTTCTTGATTTGAACTTCACTATCCTAACATCTGATTTAGTTAGTCTAAGAAAATGCAGCAGTAGTAGGCAAAATACAGAGTGTTCATGCATTTTATAAACAGAATTAGTTGTTTCAAACATGATTGAGTTCATGCGCAGTAAGTGCTTCTGCAGTCTTTTTGACTTGGTTGAAGTGTTACAATTATCCATTTGGATAAGTTTTTTGTTTGCTACATCTTCAAGATTACACACTCTAAGTGAAAAATCATTTTCAAAGCAAAAATCAAGGTCTATCATTCTGAAAATATTTGGGGTTACTTTTAAAATAAAAGCTTTGTGATAATTTTTCAGCTCTTGTCTAAAAAACATTGGCGAAATCAAAATTATTTTGCAAAATATTATTAGTTTCCATTTTTAGCTTTAATCTTTTAATTTTTAAATCAAAATTATATTCAATGGGGAAATGCAGCTGTGTCAACCAGGAATTTAACATCAGCCTTTTGAATACTTACTGGAAAGAGCATGGTTAAAAATGACATTTCTTGATAGATGCCTATTTAGAAGATATTTTCATTGCTTTCTTACTAATGGAAATAATTTCTTAGGGCATAAACTGTGAAACTAGACTACACTGCATAACAAGGAAACATATTTAATGCACCAGTCACAACTAATACAGCGGATGGTGGTCCCCGCTTTGATGAACAGTAGACGGCCATCACTGACCCATGGTTGGTGAGCTTGGAGAAGTGGAACTGATGGAACCTAAATTATATGAAAGATGGATTGGTAGAGTTACTAATAAATATAGTCATACTGAACTAGGAGGAAAAAAAAAGCCTTGAAATGAGTTATTTTTGTGAAACTTATTTCTTGCAGAAATTACCCTGCCTTTAGCATTTGCACATAGATGTAAACAGCATTTAGATGTGTGGTGTTTTACTAAGTCTCTGTTTTACATGTATATTTTTTGTAACAGGTTAGTAGCAAAGATGAAGATTTTCTTGACCTTTCTGTTGATGTGGAGCAGAACACATCAATTACACACTGTCTAAGGTAAATGAGTGTATCTCTGGCAGATAGTTCTGTCTGACTTTGCTGAATTTTCCAAGTCTAGTAGGTACAGAAAAGAGAAGGAGAATAGCACTGGGTTTTGAACATTTCCTAAGCAGAAGAAAAAGATTGTAAACTGGATGTTTCCTGTAATGACAAAAGATACATCAGTGTATTTTGTTTTACTCACTTTCTTTTTCAATATATGTGTTTGAAAGAGGAAAAAAAATCATCTCTTGGGGAAAATAATTGATTGCCTTGTCATCTGGAAGAATTGCTGCAGAAGAATAATTGGCTTCAAAGGGATTTCAGTGTGCTTATCATTAAGCTTTTATTAAGTGCTTTGTTGATTAGGACTTATGTGCGTATTAAAAGTTAAGTGAGTGCTTTGCAGAAAGAGTACCAGCGTCCCTAGCGGGCAAAAGATCTCTTAAGTCTGAAAGTTCTTCTGACATATAAATTTCTATTCTGTGTCTCATCCTAAAATTACAAGGAGAAGTCTTTTACTCTAAGTTTCAGTTCTGCACCTAGTAGACTCTTAACCAAATACTTCAGAGGTCAAAATAATTTTGAGACTTCATGGAGGATTATTCTGAGAGATTTAAAATATCCAGAGTTTTGGCACTGATACAGTAAACCAATACCTAGATTTAAGGCAGTATGTTGCTGCTCTAAGGTAATGAGTATCAATCGGTCAGATTATTCTTTCAAGCTGCAAAATTGCTACCAACTTTGAAATTGCATTTAACATTTATTCTGGAATGCCTAGGAAGCGTTGCCCAGCACCTCACCCTAAGCTGAGAGTTACAGAAAGAGAAAGCATATGAGAGAAGGTACTAACCATTTTCTAGGTCAGAAAGTGATTTCTCTGCAGATACCACAACTGTACTAAGTAACTTCTGTTACATATTAAAGTGCTAAACCCAGTAAGGTTTTTCCTTCTCAACTTCTGTTTGGTCTCCTGTAGGATACTGTAGCAGTGATTAGTCTTCAAGTAATTGATAGCTTGGCTTTGCTAGCAAAGATTAGGGCCTTATTTTCTTCTTTTTTCCCATCTCTTTGTTCATGGTCACCAATAATTGAATCAGTATTAGTACTACAGGTTTTTATTTGCACACTTTTAAGTTCTTCACTGTAGCCATTACCTTGAACTTGGTTTTGTCAACATTACTTGCCTTTCTCTATGTTCAAAGTCAATTTGAAATCACACTGACATTCAGGGAAGCTGAAGTGTGCATCTTCTGAGGTCCTTTCTTACTTGGTTCTGTCATACATAGTTACTGGAGACTGAGCACTGACAATCTTACAGCTTAGTCTGCTGAACTTGTTAGAAACTGCTGCTGTCCATAAGTTGCCACCTGCCCTTTCTCCATTTTTTAAATTCAAGTTCTTAGTTGTTAAGCTGCCTGGAAATAATTTGTTTGGAAAGGCTTTTTTATAGCATTCTCACTACTGAATACCAAGTGGCTGTAACTTACAATGTGGAAGAACTGCACCTGCACTACTGCAATTGACAGGTGCATGGTGGAGTTGAAAGGGACCGCAAGAGGTTAGCCCCTTTTTCCACCTCAGATAGGATGCTTGTCCAACCTGTTCCAAAAGGTCTTTTATCAGTGGTAGCTCAATTGCCTATCTATCTCAGTCCTTCTTGTTCTTACTACTAACAAGTTTATCCCACTGTGTAGTACAAATCTTCCTTGTTTCGGTTCAAGCCCATTCCTACTTGCCTGGTGTACTCTGCACATAAACCAGGGGTTACTCCCTTTCTTCTTTGCAGCAGCCTTTTACATACAGGGAGAACGTCATCACTTTCTTAAGTTAAGCAGTTTAAGGTCATTCAAGCTTTCCTTCATAGGCGATCTTCTCTAGATCTCTGCTCATGTTCATTACTCCTTGGGCTTCTCTCCAACTGAACCTCTCTTGAACTCTATCTTACCTGAAGTGCAGTTGCCTAAAATCAGGCACAATATGTCACCAGAAAGCTACACAATTCTGAGAAAAATGGATGTCCTAAAACTTTCTTTATACATTTCAGTATAGCATCTGCCTTTACTCAAATAGCGTGGCATACATTTTGAAGTCCACACATTGTTCCTTTTGGAAATAAAGGGAAGAAATATCCCAGTTTTTCTCTTCTTGGGGTAGGAGGTGCAGGTTGCTATTTACAGATTAAGCAGAAAGAGAGTCATCACCATCTATTCTGTTTGTTTTTTACCCTAGCAGCATGTCTACTTCTGTTCAGAAAACAAATATTGTTAGAATATGGATTTCTTCTCATTGGTCTATGGCATTATGCATTATTAAATTAAGTGTAAGTGCTCTTGTGGTTTCTAATAGTAGGAACAGCCAAGTTGTTAGTCTTTGGGGGAACTTTGCTGTTTCTTTGTTTATAACAAATGCTTTGCTGTGTCTTTACAGCTTTAAGTGCTACTGCACTGAAAAGGTAACTTATTTAAAGAAAAACTGTAGAAGGTAACATTTAAGTAGAAAGAATTTCTTTGCCAGTACAGATGAATATTCATTTTAGTAATTCTTGTAGCTTTTCAGATTGAAAAGATCTTTGTGTACATAAAAGGTCCAATGAATACAAGCTTCTGGCATAGCCTGACTCTACAGGGTAGGAAATGGAGTCTTAAGCAATGGAAGACTAATAACAAATATAGTACATACCCTTATTTGTGTTTCCACTAGGACTTGCAAAGTTTACCAGTCCATTTGATCCTGACTTAGCTGTCCACCTGTGCTTTTTTATTCCACTAAGAATTCTCTCATCTCTTAAAACAGATTTTTTTTTTTATTATTTATGCATATAAACAGCAGAAATCACGTTTCACACTGCAGTATAGAGACTGCAGAGAGATGGGCTGTGAAAGCACATGAGGTTAATTCTAAATAAGTACAGCTTGAGCAGGTGTATTTAAAAATTCCTGTTAAAATACTGTATAAGCAGAATGCAGATTGGCCTGTTAATGGAATAGGAGAGTTAAAAATGTCTTTGAACTAGTTCAGCAGGTATAAAGTTCCTTAAGCTTATAGTTCTTGTACATGCAGACTTTGCGTTAACTCCAGTCAGCAATCTCATGTTTTCACCTATTCAGCATCTATTAGAAGTGCCACGCTGAAAATTCTCTATTGCTGAAACAGCTCCTGAAGTTGCAGTTGTAAAGGGAAGCAAAAGCATCTAATAGTCACCTGCATACCTCCCTTCCCACAAGGAAAGAGTTAACGCTTATAAATATACCACCAGTTTTGTTCCTGGTACAAGAAAAGGAATTAATATGTGCTGAATGAGGGAATTAGTAGTGCCTTTAAGTTCCGTGACTGTGCTTTGCCTGCTATGGTAGAATAGGACAAAGGTCTGTCAGGTGGAAGTAGAAGACAAAAGAACAAAAGAAGAAATGCTAAGGGACATGTAAGGGAATGTCCCTCAGCTTATCAAGTACTTGCATACTTCTCAGGCTTTCACAGGTGCAATTTCTACAGCAGCAAACTTATCATATAAAATGTTAGCTATTATCAGTTTCAGAACAATTAATACATTTTAAAAAGAATTCAGAAAGACTTTGAGTTTAATCCATTTTCGTGGGAGGCCTGGCATAGAACAAACCTGTAGCTATCAAATTCCTACCATCCATGCATGTTTCTTTATGTTAGGAAAAACTATTATTTATTTCTTTTGCTTCGTTTTGAGGGAGTAAGGAAAAAAATAAATTATTTTACAAGCCTGTTGGGGGATTTTGTTGTTGTTGTTGTTTGTTTGGGTCTTCTTTAAATTGACACTTTAGGCTTTAAAAATAAACATCAGACCCTTAACACAAACACATTCTACTGAATCTTGACGTGTTGCGTTCCCCACACATAGAACCTGTCTCTAATATTTTTTTGAAGTTTCATCACTTCATTCATGCTCCCCTGAAAGGTTAACATTTTTTCTCAGAGGAATTGGCTGAATTCAGTTAATTTTGTCTTTGAATTCAAATGTGAAATCAGATATTTGAGATCAGTATGTACCACTGAAGATATTCATTCCAGTGATCATGCTTTATTTTTCTTTAAGGTAGAAAATTATCCTTATGATCAAAGTTTTGTTGCAACTTATCTTTCAGGAGATGTATTTTGTCCATTTAAAAAAAAAACAAAAAAACCCTAATAAAAGCATTCTCAGTATAATATTCAGCCATATGAAATGCCTCCCTGTCATATAAACATACAGCATAACAAAGAGGGGCTTTTAGGAACTTATGTAAATAAATTCTACTACTTATGTCATGGCAATCTGTATAGCCTTCAGCTTTCTCATCAACCCCTGTGGTGATGCTGCCAGGAAGAAATAATGATCTAGAATCTTCCCTTTGCCTTTGTGAGATAATTCTGGTGCTGCCTACCATGAAAGCAGGCTGCACTTGCAGACAGTGCAGCTTCAGCCTCTGTATATGTGAACTGCAGTGGTAGGATGGAGCTCATTATTTATGGGTCTGAATGGGTTTGAATTTGCCTGGATTTCAGAAGATTATTAGATACAATGTAGGTGCAATCAACAGGACAGTTTTGTACTTCAAATATATCTATTTAAGGCCCAAAGTCACAAGAAAACATGTGTGCTTAAAGTGGAAGATAGGTGCTTATGTTTGCATTTACAGTTCTCAAAGCACCTGCTCAGCTGCAATGTAACACTAGAGGTGACAAAAAATTACTATCAATCAGGGTTTTTTAGAGTTCAGGATTTTTAGATAGCTACAATTCTGCTCCAAAGCGTGTTGGCATAGCGACTTTTGACAAATCTTTTCTGTGAACTAAGAGACATTATCAAACCAGCCTTCCTCTGCCTCTATCACTTTAAAAGCTCAATCCAGAACAATTTCCGAGCATATTTACTTGCTCAGGATTTAAAAAGCCTTCTATACTAGCTGAAACTTTCCTTTTTAGACATGAGGGCGGTATAATCAAATAACTTCTGGAAGACTGTTCAAGAGGTTAGAGGATGCAGAAAAATAAGTTCAATTTATTTCTTCTGTGTAAGAGGATTCAAACCTATCTTACAGAACACCATAAAATGTGAGCTATTTGGTGATGATAGAAGTGCACTTGAAGCTGTTCCATTCTGCAAAGAATTTAAAAAGGGACTGGATGAACTGAGTAACTACACTCAAGTCTTGACATGTAGTAGGCTAGGGTATAATTCCTACTTTGAGATAGTATGGGGGTCCTCAGTTCTTAATACAGGGCTGTCATAGCCGCCAGATGCCTAAAGTCCCAATGCAAGTCCCAGTACAGCTGCTTCAGATGTAGAAAACTGTGCTCAGTGGAGAGAGGATTTGATCCTGTGTGTCCTTTTAGGGTTTCAGTTCATCATCCCAAGTGGGGCAAAAGTGTGAATATCCTTTAAAAATTGATAACTCTGTCTGTTTACAGAGACTTCAGTAACACAGAGACATTATGTAGTGAACAGAAATACTACTGTGAAACTTGCTGCAGTAAACAAGAGGCACAAAAAAGGTAAGCAAAGAGCAGGCTATTTCACCATGTCCCTCCTGGGCTTTGACAGACCTCCTCCTTGATATTTATTGTGCTTAGATACCTAGAAGCTTTACACCCCAGCTACATTCTCTGTGTGAGCCAAAGAGCTAACAGACAAATTCGAAGCTATTACATGTGTTTTAGTCTAGAAGCTACTGCTAGTTGACTACTGTTACTTACAAAGTGCTTTTATAATGCAAACCTTTACTCATTAAGGAAAGAGAAAATGGCTTTGAACTTGTCAGGCCTTTATCACATGCACTCTAATGGTTTCACAGGATGAGAGTAAAAAAACTGCCAATGATTCTTGCCTTACACCTCAAGAGATTCAAGTATATGGAACAATTGCACAGATATACTAAGCTGTCTTATCGTGTAGTATTTCCTCTGGAGTTACGTCTCTTCAACACATCTGGCGATGCTGTCAACTTAGATCGCATGTATGACTTGGTAGCTGTTGTTGTTCACTGTGGAAGGTAAGATACTTTCATGTGTATCTCGAGCTATTGCCAGACATTTGCCAAGAGCAGAGGCATGCCTGACAAAATGCAGGGAGAATGGGAGTGAGTTCATAAATTGTGCTACTGTCCCAACTTGCCTGGGTCGTGCCTGAACCTCTTAGCCACCCTCCCTCACAGTAAATCTCTACTCATTCTAAAAACAATGTCTCAGGCCTCCAGAAGTCACAAGACTGGTTTGAATTAATAGAGATGTCTCCTTCCTCAAGAGCCCACTTACAGAGCTTGGGAGGCAGGACTCTGTGAAAGCCAGGAGCATGCAGGTCCTGCAACAGATTATCTTGTTCTCTTGTCAAGGCAACAAAAATGGTAGCTTTAATAAAGCTTTTCACATATGGGGTATTGTCAAATAAGAAACAAACAAAAATCCTTGGGACTTGAAGAATATGACCTGTCCCTCTTCTCAAAGACTGTATAACTAAGTATTCATAGTTGATAGCAAGCAATTTTTCCCCATAAATTTAGTTCATTAGGGATGCTGGGGAGGGACTCTTCTTTAGGGACTGTAGTGACAGGACAAGGGATAATGGGTTAAAACTTAAACAGGGGAAGTTTAGATTGGATATAAGGAAGAAATTCTTTACTGTAAGGGTGGTGAGGCACTGGAATGGGTTGTCCAGAGAGGTTGTGAATGCTCCATCCCTGGCAGCGTTCAAGGCCAGGTTGGACAGAGCCTTGGGTGACATGGTTTAGTGGGAGGTCTCCCTGCCCATGGCAGGGGGCTTGGAACTACACGATCTTAAGGTCCTTTCCAACCCTAACTATTCTATGATTACATCCTAAAAATATTTGCAGTAGTTGATGCCTGCCAAAAGCAAATTGTTTATTATTCTAGAGGTTAATTTGAAAATGGTCTTGGCACAGATGAAAATACATTTAGCATTCAGTTGATGAAGCCTTTGCAAAAGTTCAGTAACAAGGTGAAAGGGGTAAATGTCTACTGAACCACCAGGGGTGGGTTTACTATGTTCTTCATAGCATTTAGTTATAAGTCAGTCTGCTTGCATATAGAAAAGTGACTTATCAAAAATGGACTCAGTAGTATCTTCTAATATTTGGGGGTTTGTGTGTTTTGCTTTCTAGTGGGCCGAATCGGGGGCATTATATTACTATTGTGAAAAGTCATGGATTTTGGCTCTTGTTTGATGATGACATTGTAGAGGTCAGTATGCTGAAGGTCATGAGCACAACTTTTATGTTTATGTTCTGTTTTCTATCTGGGGTTAAAATTCTGATCCAGACCTGTGTGCAGATTACTAGTTTTCAAAGCCACAGTTTGCTTGTAATGTGACATTTAGCACAACTCTGTTAAGTAAGATTGCAAACAAACTAACTCATCCTGTAGTTCTTCTTCTGTCAGTGTCGGAGGAGGTTGTCTTATTTCAGAGCAACATCAGTTTTTAATACCAGACTTCAAGGGTTTCATTTGGAATTATTTCTGTATCTAATAAAATCAATTTAATTCATTAAGACTTAAAATATCCATGAACTATGTTGCAATCCCTGGCAACATCACTTGGCAAAATTGGATTGGGTAAAGCTAGCATTGCTCTAGAATTTTAATTTTTGAGCAATTGGGAAGTTAGAAGAAAGTGTGGGTTCTACAATCGATCTGGGTTTGTCTGAATGTAAATTGGAGCAGGATCTGGCCTGCAGCTATTACAGATTCTGTCTGAGCATTCTACAATTCATTCCTAAGCTATCCCCTTATGTCTTTGCGGCACTTTAACAAAACTGAGGTCTTAAGTCATATTTCCCAGGAGTAAATCCAACGGAAGAAAGTAAGCACTGGGACACTGAATGGGCCATGTCTTGAGGAGTGTTTCTGGAAATTTCAGAAGGGAGAGGTCACATGCTCACATTTACGTGTTTCAACAGCGTTCATTACTGCGTTCCAAGGAGTCTCGCTGTTGTTGGAAAGAGCCTAATTCAGTTAGGTTCACCAAGACCAACATTGCTATTGATTTCCGTGACTGAGACCAGTAGGGCTTAGCCCCTGAACATTACCCTTCCACTGCTTAAATTGCAAACAGAATTTGTTAATTGCTACCCTGAAACAAATAACTGAATTTGTCTGTCATGTTTACACAGTCATTTGATCCAGATTTGGTACTTCTTTTACCTAACAGAACGTTAAATTTTTTGTTTATTTTGCAGAAAATAGATGCTCAAGCTATTGAAGAATTCTATGGTCTGACCTCTGATATATCAAAAAATTCAGAGTCTGGCTATATTTTATTCTATCAGTCAAGAGAGTAACTTGGCAAACTGTGACAATTGCGCACAATGATGCTGCACGTGAGAGACTGTGATGGACCCCCTTAACTGACTTTTACACAGACCACGTCTTGTGTAGTTGAACAACGATACGCTCTGTCTCCTATTAAATGGTCTATGTGATATTGACTATAACCATCCATTTTTTACATGTAAAACTTTGTTTTGGAGGGGGGTTGCTGTTCGTAGACTTTAAGTGTGATTGAAGAATTAATTGCAGTCAGATTTTAGTGGAATTTATATGGACTAACATTTACAGGTAATAAGATTTGGATGTCAACTGTTAAACCCAATCCAGCTAGAGTAGTATTTTATATGGAAGCGTTCACTGCATTTAGACAAAAATTGTTTAAAACTTTCTAAATGGATTTGGGGTGTGTTGATTTACAAAGCATTCCTTTAAATACTGACATATATTTACCCATTTTAATTGTAAGGAAAAAAAACATCTGTTTCATGATGATTGGAATTGTGACTGTATAGGGGATATTTACTTTTTTTTTAACATGTTACTCTCTGATATTGTTCCAAAATCTTTTAAGCTTTGGGTTATTAAAAAGTTTCAGTGCATAACCTCAGGCCTAAAATTCACATAGAGGTATTTAAGTTATAGTGGAACCAAGTAATTCTGTACGTTCAGTCACTTTGTTTATCATGAGATAGTACAGGTGAATTGAGAATTCAGAATTTACAGAGCACTGGAATAAAGGGAGTGAGATGACACATATGAGACAAATAAATTACATGTATGGAGATTGAACTTATCTTTCCATTAAAATATCATGTGTTGTTAACTTAAGTTTGCAGAGATTGCAACAGTGCTCACATACGACATCCTTCAGGACTGAAACGACAGTGCATTTAAATGTGTTGTTCACACAGTGCATAAGACATTAATTGATCCTGCAATTTTCTGTAGGTTCTATTTTCATTTCTCAAGACAGAGTCCATTTCTTAGCAACATAACATAATGCATAACAACCACCAGTTTACACTCACTGTCATGTACATACTATCTCTAACATTTTGGCCATCTATGACAACATTAGAGTCACCACAGAAACAGATGATAGACTTCTGGAGTGTCTGACTTTAAAAACATCAAAAGACTTAGTTTGTGATTTTACTGGGTGAATTTCGCTGGCATTAGTCAAGTACTGGCTAATAAAATTGCTGTACTCACTGGAATTTGGTAAAGAATGAATGTAGAAGAAAAGTATCAACAGGGTATGAGAAGGGATGGATATAAGGTTAAGGCAGTGGTAATGCTGCGTAAGCACCTTGCTTAGTTGGACAGTTTCACTCCATTATACAATTCTTGAATTTCAGTAGCCATATTCCTGTTGCAATGAAGTCAACAGCAAAAACACTCTTCATGTCTTTAGGGGCACTGATAGTTGATTCTAATATTTACAAGGAAGTATTCTCATCTCACAAGGTATATTTCTACCTGTTATATTTCATTCACTCTCATTAAGTATTTATTAGACAATGCTGCTTTTGGTCCTTCTTCAAGAAGCCTGACTGCCACTTTATGGCCAACACTCCATTTCAAAAAAAGGCTTTTGAAGTGCAGTTAAATCTTATAATTTATTCTTCTATTGGAAAGAGAATAACTTTTTTCATTGTAATCTACTGTGAATGTGAAATATTGTTTGCTAAATAATGGTGAAAATGAAGTACTAGCTTCTACTGTAACATCAACTGAAGTTCAGTTGGGTTTATCAATGGCCATTTTGTAAACTGAAGAAATGTAGCACTTTATACTGAATGAGAAACTAAGTGGACTTTTCATCTAACATTACTTGTGACTTACCATGTTGTTATACCAATACAAGAAAACAGAATGTAATCTTAGAGTACTTGGGTGAATAATAATAGTGGTCTACAAAGATCACTCACATGAATGAAGGCTCGTATGCAGGCTCAAGACAAGCATAACTGGGATGCAGCCCTAGCTCTGTGATTGATGTTAGAATGAAATGTTCTGTCTCTAGCACAGGAGACAGACGTTTTACGGACTTCAATTCTCACTGAAGCCCAGGAGGTTTTCCACTGAAGAGCTAAACCTGCAAATGCCTCTTTAATGTATTTATTTATTAACAGTCAGAAATTCCATATAAAAACATAATAATCACTTGCCTTTTTAAAAAGGGTAAGGTTTCATTGGGGTGAATGAAGGCACTTTCTTGATCAGCATTAGCCAGTGCTGGTTCAAGGGTCTGTACTTCATGGCTTACTGCTGCACATTCTTAGAGCATTCTTCAAGTTTAAAACAAGTAACAAAAAAGATATTCCTGAGGTATTATTTGCAAGTTATGGGCTCACGTTTATATGAAAAGTAATTTTTCATAAAAATAATTTTTAAGTCAGTTCAATTTTTCAGAAATATTTTCCGTATTTCAGTTGGCTCACTGGAAAATCGATTTTTTTAGATGTTAATTATATGAATTAATATTTAAATGCTAAAGTACAGGATAATAATCTTTGGTTTTCTCCAGCTGCAAGACAGCTCTAGGTTGCAAAATATGCAGGTAATTGCGGTATTTTGTTGAGAGTAAAATTACTAGAATAAGCCTTTTCATAGAGTATCCTCTAAATTCATGCTAGTCCATGGAAAGATCACAGCACTGGTATCGCACCAGTCCCTCATCAGTGGTCTGATAGTAACTCTGAAATATTGTGGAATACTTACTTCATGCCAACACCAGCTCAAGTAAGGAACATTTTCTTTCGATTAGAAATTAAAAACGCAGTCACAATTCTTTGTATTATATCCAGTCTATAGTGTGCTGAATGTCTTGACTTCAGTCCAGCAAAAGGTGTCCATCACGGTTGTAGGAATACTGCCAGTCTGGGCAGCAGAACTCTGCTGTGTCAAATTAAGAACATCCGCATTAGTTTTGCAGGATCCTCACAAGAACAATCATATGATATAAACTATTTTAGTTGATTAAATAAAACGTAATTCTTTTTCTCTTATTCTTCTGTGTAGATTTCCAGTCCCTTATGAAAGAATGGAAAAATATCTAGGACAATAGAAGGTTTTCAGCCAACAGCTAGAAAACAAACCAGTAGCACAGATGTGTCCAGTAGTATTCTGTGCTTCCCTAAAATTACTTTTTTATGGTGTCAGGTTCTGAGCACATTAGGCCTGATGACACCTGAAGTTTTCTACTTGTTTCACATGCTGTTGCTGGGATGTGTTGTCCATTTATAAATCCTATTGCTATGTTCTTACTTAGAAAAAATAACATTTCTGTCCCGTGCTGTTTTTCCACCAAACCCAACTGAAGTGCCGCAGTGCTGATGAATCAGTTATCTTAGAGGATGAGCTCAGAACTCAACTTCTACATTTCACAGAACAGGCTGTCAGGATTTTATGTAACTTCTATTTCTGGGACATAGCAGAGGGAGGCAGAAGAGGGGAGTAATGGAAAACCATATCAGTGAAGCAGAACACCTTGCTGAGGAATTAAATCAAGAAATTATTCATGTCAATCTTATTTTAATAATTTACAGTTACCTCAGAGCAGTAGATTACATCTTAAAAGTATTGTTCCTTTAGCAGCTGGAATAAAGAAAATAAAGCAGTAGGTGTTTCCTTTGTATTAGACTTAATAAAGATATCAAAGACCTAACTAAGATGAAACTGAAATTCATATTACTTGTTGGGTCCCAAAGTGCCACCACAACCTGTCTTTTACCTTCAGACATCACATTTCATTCACCCATCTGTTACAGCATCATGTACTTGGGACCTGAGCTGACAGCTTGCAGCTGCCAGTGGTTTGACGCCTCTCAGCAGCAGACCCTTCTTGTTTCGGCAATTCTTTGCTGTTGGCGTCTGACAAGTGTTAGTGCTATCTTACAGCTGAATGTGTACTAGAAATGTTAAGAAGTTTTGGCTGTGTACCTGATGTTTGCTAGTGTTTGTTTTAATTTATTTCTTTTTCATTGGTCTGTTACTGTATTTGTAGAATAACTTATGTAGTTGATACTATTTGTTTTCTGTTCTAATTTTTATGTACTTTGATTTTTTACAATGTAATCAACCTTAGCACTTTAAGGAACAATTTCAATCTTGTGAAATTCCAATCAGTTTAACATTTTGCCTTTGCCTTTCTGCTTTTGTAGCTGTTTGCTTATGATCCAACGTCTCCAGTTCAACCCAGTTTCCATTTTTAGGCTTGTGGTCCTAGCTGGGTTGTAAACTTGGGAAACCCAAATTTATTCATACATAACAAGGATGCAGTATTTACTATGTGTCTGCTACACATAGCAGTATGTTCCTGATCAGTTGCACTCAGTGCACATTTCATAGCCTTTTTTTGCACTCTACCTGCTAACCTGAGAATTACTTTAATACTTTAATCTGTGGCACAATTATCAATTATTTTGATTTAGAAAAGTTCCTCTTCTGACAAGAGAATTCCTTTTACCAAACACGGAGTTAGCTGTCAGCTGATCATGCAGGTATTGCTGTCTTTGTCTTTTTAGCTGTGCTCTGTACAGTCTCAAGTATGAATAATCCTAACTGCTGCATTTATTCTTGTGTAAGTCCTAGCAAGGAGAGCAATCTTTTTGCATCTTCCTTCTATCCACTTGGGCTCGTATAAGAGAAAATAAAGCAGGAAAAGTGCTGGTCTAAAAAAAGCCACACCATCTAGCAGACATTGGATGTTTTTTAGAGGCCAGCATCTGTGGTACCCATATCAGAAAGTCACTGACTTTCTTTGTTGTTAATGGAAGGGTTATTCTTAGTTGTTTAGACATTGTACTCTCTTTGATCAATTAAAAGTCCAGGTCTTTTTCCTGTTGCATCAATTCTGTTGCTGAGGTATTTCTTCACAATTTAACATGGCATTTCATATTTAAACGGCCCTTGGGAAACCTCGGTAGACACTCTTTTAATTTCTTTCCAGTTAACATGCGTTACTTCAAAGAGATAGCTTGAACCTGTCCACAAGGCTTACTCAGATTAACACAGACTTTTAGCACACAAGGTCAAATAACACCTATCAGGAGGTATGTGCCCACCTAATGGGACCTTCTGGGCTAAGCCCACACCTTTTTACACACTAATAATTCTTTACCCCCTAGGAGGTTTGCTTGCTGGCTTCGCCTGAATGGTTTAATATGAAACCACACATAACTCCCTTTATTCGTAGTTTCACAGTTGCTATAATACTTTAATAATTTTGCTTCATTTGATTATCACAACTGGGACTATTGCACAGTTTAAAATATATAACTTTCATGTGCCATTCACAGTGGTCAATTTAACAGCCTAATGCTTCTGGTGAAGGCTGTTGCAGGTGGAAACTTTGCTATATGCAAGAATATTAAAGAATAAGTGGCTTTTCTGTGATAACACAGTACATCTGCAGGAGAATCAGGACTGTCACACAGCTTCCTAACACTCATCTTGCACCCATCTGAAGTTGGTGCTCTGTCCTCTAGATAATCCTAATCCTTCTCTTAGGGGTTCCAAAGTGGCAGAAGCAAACCCTTTGTGAAAACACCTTGTGATTTACCAGAACATCTTACTTGCCAGAGTAGATAATGAATATATGCAACCTGTCTCTCCCTGCCCCCCAAAACCTCATTAATAAGTACACATTCCTTAGAGGTGCTGAGCTTAAATGTCAGTTTTGTATTTGCAACGTGCTCATGTTTGCAAATGTCCCATGTTGGACTATGTTCACGTGCTAAATTGTTTCTTAGTCCGCTCTCAACTGTCATTCTAACATCA